AATGTGGAGGCCAGGAGCGCTGTGACTGGCCCTAAAATCCCTCCTGTGCATTAAGTCACTCTTGGGAAGAGGGGGGTTAGGGGCAGCGGGTGGGGGGACACCACGTTGCCCATCTCCGTGGCTCCAAAATGGCAGAAAACGCCGGCAATTTAACCTTTTAAGACAACTGCTGAGTGATTTTTATTTATGGTTTTTTTTTTCCCACCTCAGGAGAGCGAGATGAGCAAGAGGAAGAAGGAGCCCAGCCCAGGTACCGAAGCAGCGCCGTGTAAACAAGCCCTGGCCTCAAGGGAGCACCGGACACCGGGACCCCTCACCGGGAGGCCCCGCAGCCCCAGTTCCTTCCAGCCCCACTGGTTAAGCCCGGTCCTGGGTCTGGCCCGAGCCGGGCGCTTCGTTACTATGTAGAGACTGCAGCCAGTTCTCAGCAGAGGCGCCCAGAGCCGCCCGGCGTCGCCTCCAACCTCTGACCTTCGCTACGCCCAAAGCTGCCCGGACACTCCCTGTTTTGCCACCGTTTTACTGCTATTTAGTACAAAACACCCCCGCACACACCGCTTTCTAAGCAGTTTTTACCCAAACGCGGCCAAGCACCCCCAAAATGTCACGCCAGCTTTGCAAACCCCAGCGGGGAGCAGCGAGTAGAGAGCTGGGTCAAAAATGAGAGGCCAGAAATCGCTGCTTTTGCGCTTGAAAGGTGATTTTTAGGGCTGCCTACGCAGCCCCCGGGGCGCAGCTTCCTCCCCGGAGCGCTCCTCGCCACCCAATATTGCCAAATTACAGTGGCAAGCAATTTGAGCACGGGGGTGACACGTTACACCCCGTTTAGCGCTGGTTTTGATGAATAAACCACTGTTTTASCCCAGAAAGGAGCGCTGGAGTCTGACCACTGTAATTAGCTTGTAACGCTTGCAGCGAAGCTCCCTGCAAACAAAACCCTGCGGCAACACAGGCTTGCCCAGYGTTTCCCACTTGGCTTTTAATTTCTGTTCCTCCACCCGAAATACCCGCAGAGCAGCCACAGCAGAACGGGCAATTTTGGGGTGATTCCTGCCCACAGAGATAAAAATCTKCCCTGTCTAGCATGTGGGTTTTTTTCACCCAAGCCACCTCATGAGGTGCCAGCCCCGACGAGGAGCTTGTGACCAGCCTCGTGTCGYGAGCAGATTTCCAAAACTTCCTGAATTCATGGGTTTTCTTAGGGTTTGGTTAAGAGAAATTAATGCCGGACGGACACGGACAGCCTGTTGCCAGGATTTTACCCCATTTGCCCGGGTTTTACCCCATTGCAGACAGCTCTATTGCTCTGCTAGGCACTGTTTACTAACGGCGTTTTGCCTTAACAGCAGCASACGGGGAGGGCCAGGTTCCCAAAATGAGAAGGAGTTTCGAGGAGGACCCTGAGGTGCCAGACGGTTCGGGACGGGCCCAAAGCACCGATTCCCAAGGGAAGCCGCAGCCAAGCGCCGGAGGGCCGGAGCAGCCGGGCGAGGAGGACGGGGAAGGGCAGGCGGCCAACTCGCCAGGCAGGTAACTGGGAAATGGGCACAACGGGGGCTCCGTGGGGTGAGCAAGCGCTGCGAACCGGGGACGTGGCCCCGCGCACGGCTCTGTTCTCCTCCCCAGTTCAGGAGGAGGGAGGACGGCTCCGGAGCGAAGGCAGCCCAAGCAGGTCACCACGGTCGCTCTGTCTCAGGTAAATCTGCCCCGCTGRTTGTCCTTTGGGTCGCTGCTTCCCGCTGTGGACAAATCCCCTTGAGCTGCTCGGCTGCTCAAGGGGATCCTTGGATTCCCCTTGGATTCCCCTTGGATCCGTCGCCCTTGGATTCACACTCCCGGGCGTGCGGCAGCCAGGCCAGCGCTCCTGGGACGAGCACATAGGGAGAAACTGCACCAAAAAAAAGCAGGTTTGGCCCCAAATTCAGGCCCAATTTGGCCCCAAAGGGCTGATTTTCCCAGCCCTTTATGCTCTTGCTGCAGAATTCAGCAGGGAAATTCGTGCCAGTCTTCACGAAGCCGAAGGAGAATCCGGCGGAGAGGCGGAAGCGAAACCATACGCCAAGGAGGCAAAGGGAGCAGGTACCGTGGTGCATCCCAGCTGCCCRTCTTCCTGCACGCATTTTCTTGTTTTTTAATATAAACTACACAATTTAAAGCTACTTCTTTGATTTGGCATTTATCCAAAATGGAGCTTTGTAAAAATACATATTAAAAAGAAACACACAAAATTGGAACGAGCTGTTTTTTACAAGGTCATCACAATGCCGGCCTCTTGTCGTTCCAGGACGGAACAGACTGCAGTCCCCAAAACACGGATTCCAGCCCCGAACGGAGGTCATCAGAGGCAGCGACCCAGGACGAGAGGCCTCAGGCAGAGGCACCCGAGCAGCTAAATGGCATCAGGGTCCCAGGAGAAGAGGATCCTGCGACTCCAGAGCACCGGGGGCAATTCCAGAGCGCTCCGGAGCCGGATAACCCACAGACTTGCCCCCAAACGGGGAAGAGCAGCCGCCGTCCTGAGGGTGAGCTAGCTCTGCCGGAACAGCGAGGAGAGGAGCCGGAATTCCAAAGCGATCCCCGCTCCCAAGGCGAAGCCAGTGAGAAAACCTCGCTGCCTGAAGCCCCGTCTGAATTTCCGGATATTCCGGATGAGAGTTGCCAGGATAGGGGCCTCTCCACGGAGGGGCAGGAGCATCGCTGCGGGATGGGAATAAACGGGAATGCCGCAGGCGACGACGRTGACACGGAGCCACCGTGCGTGTCCGGTGGGGCCGCGGAGCAGAACGGAGCTGCTGCTCCACAGGACCGGGTCGGGGAAGGAAACGGCCGAGATGCCGGCGGGGAAGCGCCAAGCGAGGCCAGAACGGGAGGTGAAGATGGAGCCGTGGAAAACGGCACGGGATCATCGGGAAGCACCGCTGCAGCCCAGGACTGCCCCGCTCYGGAGGAGGGCGAAGAGCGGAGCGGTGCCGGCAGCGCCTCCGGAGCGGATCCAGGCGCCCGCGGCCTGGCTGCCGCCACGGAGATGGATGTGGAGGCAGCTCCTTCCGTACGGGAGGATGGGGAAGCTCCCGGTACAGCCGGTGCTGTTTGCTGGGAAGACGGGAGCGCGAGCGCAGGCTGCAGCGCGTCCCTGCAGCCCCCCGCTTGCAAGGGAGAGAGGGATGGAGAGGAGGAAGAAAACGAAGGAAAAGCCTCTCCAGGGCCTCATTCTCCCGTCTCCATCCACGGAGCTTCCGCAGAGAAAATGGAGCAAGAAGAGCTGCCAGAGGAAGGCAAAGCCAACGCGGAGCCCAGTCCCAGCGGCCTCGGAGAGGAGCTGCCGGCTCCAGGGGTCTCCCAAGGAAAGACGCAGATCCCGGAGGCCGGAGGGAAGGCTGCTCCCTGCCCACGCAGCCTCCGGCATCGCGGAGCAAATGCCGAAGAGGCGGCGCTCGCCGGAGAGGCCGCGGAGCCCCTTCCCATGGGAAGCGCCTCGCYGGGAGCAGCAGCAGCGGGCGGCTGCACGGAGCAACCTGCTCCCGAGGGCAGGGAACTCCTTCCCGCGGCACAGCGGGATCTGCCCCACGGAGAAGCCAGGGATGTGGAGCCCGAGGAGGAATCCCGCCCGCCGGGGGCAGCGCGGCCGGCTCCGGGACCGGAGCTGCCGGCTCCTGTCCCTTCACCGCAGGTAATTCCGCCTTGGAGCTGCCGGTTTAGGCTTTTAAACCCATTTTAGGYGTTACAACCATTCCGCACTGGTGTCTCCTGTGCCCCTCCAGCCCCGCGATCCAGAGCGATCCGCAGTGGGACTCCAACCCCGGCCGCAGCCGAGCCCTTGGCTTGCCAGTGCTCCCACTTTCCCTGGAAATGCCCCCCAGCGCCGCGCGGAGACCTGGATCTGCTTTTAATGGGAGCGGGCTTGGGAGCGGAGCGACTCCTCCCTGGAAGAACACGTTCTGCCGGGCTGGCACGCCACGCACGGGCCCGTTTTCCTCCTAATTCCTATTCACTCCCAAGGCTGTTTCCATTTGCAGCCGCTTCCCACCGATGCCAACAACGGCTCTTCCGCCACCCAAACCGAGTCCGGCTCCGAGGAGGGACAAAAATCCCTGGAAAAGACCAGCCCGGTCGCCGACATCGCTGCCCTGGATCAGCAGCAGCCCAGGTTAAGTGCATTTCCAAGCCAAACATGGACTCCCAGGCCCATTATTTGAGGGAAAAGTGGCTGAGCTGGGAATGTTTTAATTCTCCCTCTCTTTTCCTCGTAGTGCCACGGCATCGGAGGCGCTTCCCACTGCTTCCCAGCAGGAAGATGCCACGGACGTCATCTGCGGCCTCATCGCGGAGCTCTCCAAGCTCAAGTAAGAGCCCGGCCTCCCTGCAGCCCTGGGGAGCAACCACCCTTCAACACCAGCCCCCAAAACGGTGTTTTTCTATTATTTACCCCCCTTTTACTGCTAAACAACAGCCGCGAGGGGCATTTTCCACCTCTTACCTTGTTGCTGGGCCTTGGCGGGCAGCACGTTCAGCACAAAGGTTTCCTCTGCCCCAGGGAGCAGACAGCTAAGGGCAAGCGAGTGGCAGCTTTAACGCCCTTGGCCACCCCAAGGAGACCAGAAAGTTCTGGACTTGCTGCTCCCGCTTCACCCGTTTCTGAGGAGCTTTTGCTGAAATGCAGCTGGGGCTTTTGCGAAACCCAGCAGAAAACACCCGCCTTTTAGGGTTATTTTGCCCTCAAAAGACAAGGGGACAGGGTTTCTAGCTGTCTGCTTAGCAATTTGACTGAAATGGGGGGTAAAGAAGCCATTAACTTTAAAAAAACAAGAAACCTTTGCAACGGGGCGTTAATGTCAGGTCTCCTCCTCAGCCTGCTCTGTGCCAAGCACTAAAGCTGCTCTTTTATTCCCCCGGTTTTACCTGTTTGCACCTACTTAATGCAATTTCTTTGTGAACATTTTGGAGAAAAGCTCCTTCTCCCCAGGCCCACTGTCCTCCCTGGCTTTTATTTTAGCTGCCGAGGGCAGGGAATTGCCCTAGGAGCCCCCAAGCCCCCAGCCCAGTGTGGCAAAAGCTTTTGAATAAATATACATTTGTGCTCCGTGCGGGTATTAATGCAAAATGCAACGTGTTTGTGCTTGCAGCCGCCTGATAATGAGCGCGCACCGGGATCTGGAGTCCCTGAAGAGGCTGAAATACCGGAAAAGCCGAAGATCCGGGAAGTTTCCAGCGCCCAGGGGGGCACTCGCCAACCCCAGTCCTGGCAGGAAATGGAAGGACACGTAGGATTCGTGACAACCGTTTATTAACGCAACGGCAAAGCAGTGTGCCAACGAGTAACCCCAAAACGGGCAAATAAAGTGTAACCCCAAAACGGGCAACTAAAGTAATGGGATAACCCCCAAAATGGGCAAATAAAGGAACAGCGGGATAACCACAAAACTGGCAAATAAAAGAACCTCGTGTGTCTAACGTAGAACACTGTTTTCCATTGGAACAAACTTCCAATTTTTTGGAACTTTCCAACTTTCCAACAAACGTCTTTGAGACGCGCGCTTTCCCTAAGGGAAAAGACAACCGCTCGCGCGCGGTTCAATAACCCTAAGCGCTATTTAGGCACCAAAACCGGCCCAAAACGACCAGAACCGCCCCAAAACAGCCSCACATGGCCGGAACCGGCCTGCTCCCGAATCCGCGGCTCTGCCGGCGGCGTCTGGCGGCTCCGGAGGCACCGGAGCCGCGGGCTGCCCCCCTTGCAGCCCCTTTTKGGGAGAGGCGGCTCTTGGGGGCAAAACCAAACGCTTTTCCAACACCAAACACAACGATTCTGAACTCATTTCTGAACCAAACGTGCAACGTGCCCCCCCGACGGGCAGCTCGGCCCCTTCTGGGGCTCTGGGCTCCCTTGTTCCGGAGCAGCTTTCCCGACGAGCGGAGGCCGGGGCGG